TCAAAATGGATCACATTGTCGAAGATTCCATTGAGATAATTTTGAACAAATCACATAGTAGCAGAGTACACATCCTCACCATGCTCTACATCTTGGTTACACAGTTGCTAATAAAAATTTCAGCAAACTAAAGAAAGATCAACAAACACAACACATGCATTGTCTGCCTCCAGAGAACACTCTTGTGTCCCGTTATTTGCATTTAGCAGTACCGACTAAACAAGGGCTGCTCATTGCTGTGATGAGACGGACGGTGAGGAGTTGCACGCTGGTCTGTGGCTTGGTCATGCCCAGAGCGCCATGGACACACCGTCGTGGTCACGCTCAAGAAGGAGAATAAACATGCAAAATTTTCCATCCCCACATATAGTATATATCAATATTGCATTTTTTCCTATCACATATAGTATGTGATAAGAAAAAAATGCAATATTGCAGAATTCAGTAACAAATATGCGGTGGTTTAACCATATATATACTACCAAACCTCCATGACAGACTGTATCAACACCTTAGCTTACATTGAAGCATAAGATTCCTGCTCCATATACAATGTATAACATAAATTTCAGAAACAGTAACTAGCCAAACTCTGACATTTAAGTTAGAGATGTACTTTATTAACTGCAAGGTTCCAAGTTACTTGTACTCATAATGTTTCATTGCTAGCTATCCAAGTTCAAGTCACATGAGTACTGGAGACATTTACTTCTAAATAAAAAAACATAGGACTAGTAAATACATACAAAATGTACAAAATTTCTCATGTCACCGATGCACTACAGATACAGGATACCATTCTTTCTACCAAGATTACAGCCATCTTCCGGCAATACTTTATCATAGATCGTGGAGCTCAACAATAGAGTCACAATTCAGAAACAAACTTAGTTTTATGCAAAGTATAATTTTCTCAACCAACTAAAAGGCATGCTCACAGAAGTTCACATACCACTTCTGACATAGAAAGCATGGGGGGCAGACATGATTAATTCAGCCAACAGAATTAGCAGCGGTGCACATGCATAGAATTCTGGCAAGGAACAACACAACACAAATGGACATAGTGAGAAGCCTCTACAACAGCATCTGGACATCCTATGTTCCCATCTTTGTCTCTCGCCTGTGTGGGCCCAACCCTGTCTCCGATGCATGCATGGCTATGCATGCTTGGCTACAGCGGCAGCAGTAGCAGTTACTTAGCCAAGATGTGGAAATGACATGCAGCTGCATGTCGGCAAGAAAAGCAGTAGCGGCTGCATGCCTTGGTAGTTAAGGAAACTACTAGTAGTATTAATTTACTATAGTACTCCTTCCGTTTTTATTTAGTCTGCATATTAGGTTTGACTGAAGTCAAACTTCATAAAGTTTGATCAACTTTATAGAAAAAATTATAAGCATTTACCATAACAAATCTATATGATGTGTTAGTACATTCAATAATGAATCTAATAGTATTGATTTATTATTGTATATATTAATATTTTTGTTTATAAACTTAGTCAAAGTTTACAAAGCTTGATTTTGACCAAAGCTAATATGCGGACTAAATAAAAACGAAGGGAGTAAATGCTGAGTAAGTCGTCAACGGTGATGTAATCTAGGAGCTTGACCGTAAGCTCATACATATAGTTAGTCGGTTCAGCTACCTATAAAAGGAGCTGCACCCCGGTTGTAAAATTCATTCCACTCCGATTAATTCAAGTAGTATCTTTTCTCAAGTGTAGCTCCATTGGTGCATGCTTCACTAGTGTGTGTCTGCGTACTAGCCTAGAGTGCCTGAGCGTACCATCACTTTGCTCTTTCACCAGTCATCTATCAGTATACTCGAGTGCTAGCGAGTAGTTCTAGGCTAACAGCCTGCAGCCTTTTTGGTATTCTTGCAGGACATCTTCCGCTGCATCCTGCAGGGCATTTGAAATCATAAGTCAATTCAGAATGGAGTTTTATTGTGACCAAACATGTAAAAGAGGATTCAATACCTTCTGAATTTTCCTCCTCGACAAAGTAAATGCCCCTGCTACCCAAATTCAAAATCAATATGGACATTCAGAACCATGGTTGCTTGCTCAGATGAGGCGCTTCCACCGTGGCCTTCTTACATGGGCCAGGGTGCCTCTACGACGGGATGCTAGATCCAGCTCGCTAGGACGATCTCTCCCGCCAGCCACCTCCATGGATACTCCTGCGGGCTGGGTTCGCCAATGGCGCTCGCTCATACCGGATCGCCCTGCCAAGCGATGGTGTCATATATATATGACATTGAACCACAGACGCACTCGAAGCAACAATACATTGTCTATTAAAAATCTGCATGTGCAGACGCAAAAGAAACGACATAATGCTTAACTACTTTGTAAGATTCATAAGATTAGATGGCGACAACAAAGTTCGGTTTGAAAATCATGAGCTTTACATTAACTTGGGCTCAGTTCAATGCATATCAATGACTATCCAATAAGGAATGAACAACAATACCTTGTGCTTAATATGGCACCGAGATCTGAGAGGAGACAGGGTGAGCTTGGACGGATTTGATGGCGGTGTGTGTGGCGCTGTTGTCTTGGCAATAATGTATCTGGTTCTGTTCATGACAATCCAGGCCAAATTTATCAAAATGCTACTGGTACAGCACAATGGAGCACGTACACATGACATTGCCATTAGGGTTACTGAAGAAAACACGAACTGAACTCTAGCCCGATTGTAATGTATTCAGTGGTATTAATTCAGAATCTGACCTGAAGTTGAACTAGCTAATTATTAGTGAACTCGAACTAGTTAATTAGTCCTATTGGCCACTGGCCGATTAAAGTTACTCTCCTTAGTGGACTGAATACTGGTGATTTAATTGAACTAGTCAATTAACCCTATCACTTGCAAAATTTAACCAGTCCCCGTCCTGGAACTAGTCAACATCAGAGATCCTAGTAATGCTGGAAGGAACCACCAATTAGTGGGAAGCATCCACCGAGTAGAATAATACTACCTCCGTCCCATAATATAAGAACGTTTTTTATACTACCACTAGTGTCAAAAATGTTCTTATATTATGAGACAGAGGGAGCAGAAGCAAGACGGGACATGGATGGTGCGGGTGTTGAAGCCGAGCTTGATGCCCACGCCGCTTGGAGTATGGCCGACGGCAGGATCGAACGAGCGGACCCTGCTGGTGGTTAGAGAACGTGCATCTTAATCCCGTCGGCCAGTATCCAACTCGAACGTCAGTCTCATCCCCGAACAAGATCCAACAACAGAGTCTGAGTCCCCTTGGGGAGGTTAGAGACTGAGTTTAATACTTTAATCTCCCGCACCTGGATCCAATAGCAGAGATCCTGATGCCCGCACCTGGAATCATCAAACTCGATCGTCGCAGCCAACTACTGTACGTGCCGGTGGCCAGGGGGGAGGCCAAGGCCGCTTGCCTCAGCGAGTACTCCAAGCTCTGCGGCAAAGACGAGAAGAAGGACGCGGCGTGCGCCACCATGGTCGACAAGGCATGCGGCACCGAGGCCAACAGCGTGGCCTTCATCGAGCGCTTGTTTGTCGGCCAAAAGAAGCGTGAATCAAACACCCAGCCCACGTCTGGGGGGCAGGACGCCCTGAACGGATCCGTCGACAAGCATGGCGGCTGCCCCGGCAACAAGACGGTCTATGCATTCTCCTCCCATTGCGCCGTGGACTGCGACATGGCATGCAAGGATCCTGCTTGCTCCGACCGCTGCTACATCGACTGCCCCTATACGGCCGCAAGATTCGGCTACATCATGGCCACCCCGGCCAATAAGGGCCAGTTCTTTTGGGCAATTCTCCCAGAATTGACCCCCTCCCCAGCTTCTCCCAGAATTGCCACTTAATATTTTTTTACAATTCCTAGCTAGTTAAGGCATGGTTTGAAAGGAACTATCATCTTGCTGGCATTTATCACTTAGCTAAGAGCCCAAAAGTAACAGCATACCAGGGTAGCAACATACACTGCCCATCCACAAAAGACCCACCAGTGGTACGGCCAACTCCAGGATAGCCGCGCTATGAACTATCTACACGACATCGATCTAGCTGGGTGTTCCCCGCAACTCACCATTAGCAACTACCTATTCACATGTGTGCTGACATTCTCCAACCAAAGTCACCACGACGCGGCAATATGATCTCTCAACACACACAAAAGACTCACCAGTACCACGGCCAACTCCACAACACAAAATACTATCTACACCGCACCTAGAAGGGCGTTCTCCACCACTCACTATTGGTAACTACTAACCACTTATTCACAAGCCTAATGATGACGTGCTCCCACCCACCAAACTCACCGTGGCATTGCGGTGGATAGATTGTTCGCTTCTGCCTTGAGCCTCGAGATCTCCATGGCATTGTTCATCCTCCGTGCGACGGTAGACCTTATCACATTGCGCACAAGATAGGCATGCAGTTCAAGGTGATGGACAGCCATAGCCAAGGCGCGAAGTTGCGTGCCCAGTTCTCGGTCGTCGGCTTCTTCGCGAGCAATCTCCTCCTCCAGCTTTTTCATGCGAATTAAAGCTTCCACGCGCGATCTCAGGTCCCCGACATCGAAACCACTTGCCTCGAGATAAGCCAGGCACTCCATCTTCCGCTCGAGGAGCTCATTGTCGTCCTGAACACCTAGCCTGTTTATGCTTTCTGCCAGATCAGCAAAAGAGATCATCAGACCTAGTGCCAGTCCTTCATGGAGCTCTGGAACGTGCTGCTGAAACTGATGGAGATTTGGCCGCTGTGGCGTTGTCCTGAATATCTCCAGTGCCTCAAGCTGTGCCCACAATGGGGAGGTCTTCACAATTGGAAGATGCTGGATTGCCGAGGATTCTGAAAGCTGGCCACTCGTGCGCATGATACTCTCATGCACAGCCACATATTCCGCAGACAAAGGACAGCAAGAATCATGTGTTGCATTACCTTGGTGTGATTGTGAACCTGTAAATGGAAGGTATCATGATACAAGTGTGCTAGTAACACAGCAAAAGTGTTACTGACTTTTCTGTAATCAGTACACGCGGATGACTGTACAATAGAACTCAAAAACTTACGGTCTTCAGAGACAGAGACAACATTGCTGCCTTCTTCAATGGCTTTAGCATCTATCCTTTCCATTGGCTGCATTTAGTATTTACAAATGTAAAGAAAGTAAGAGCAAATGATTTTTTTAATGATCTTACAACTAGTTTAAATAGCTAAGGGGATGCGATAAAAGCAACAACTCACAGTTTCAGGCTTCTCCCCTACAGGCACTGCTGTTTGTAAAGAAACACATCCCTCCATTTGTCTGAACGGTTCAGTCCCAGTTCCAGCAGTGGACTGCTTATCCGGATCGCTTAATACTCTTTTTGACCCTTCAATACCGGTAAAAAATGAGCTAATAAGCGACCGCGTTCCTAATGGCAGGCCCTGTGGAATAGGCCTTGATTGTCCAAACGCTCCAAACAACGAAGCCTGAATGTGAGAAGATGATTGTGCAAGATGACAACTTGTAGCAGGTGAAGACGAAGAACTCAGACGGCCAAATGATGACATTGGTGGCAGTGAAGGAGGTGACAACTCAGACCTTGGTGCCAATACTGCATTTCCTTGCTTACGAGTAATTTCAATGTTTTCTTTACCAACAGACAAAAGGGGAGAAATTTGTTCTGGTATCACATCCGCATTCTTCAACTTCTTTTTGTCCCGATGAGAACCAGGTTCGTCACTGATTTTATCCGAGTCATTATCCAAGGCAGCGGAAATTGGCCTTTTTGCAGATTCCTGAAATGGAAAGGGTATTCAAGACATGTTTTGAGGTAATGCTGAATAACATCATTTTGCATATTCTGAATTCATTTGCAGCAGCTTCTGGTATGAACAAACATGCAGATACATATGGCTATCATGACGGGATCATGTCTATCGGTTAACCGGGCCAAAGATCAAAGAACAAACAGATGGAAAGTGTCGTTAACCCTGATGCAAACAGTGCCCAATCAAGGTGAGACAAATGAGTAACATGGTGCAAACAGTATAGTGATAAGAGCAGGCAAAGCATGGTAATGTTGATAATTTTCATCAAAATCTGAAGTACTAAAACTACGAATGCTCCTTGATCAAATACACCTCAATACACTATGTAATACATGAAACGACCGCACTAAATGGCATTCTATGCTCCATCAAGGAAAAGAATGACAGAAGACAAAACACAGAAAATACAGATGTACCTTCTTCAAGCAGGGTACCCATTTTTCACCGTCCCAGTCACACAGTGGCCTGAGCTGCGTAATTTCAACCCTCAGCGCATCCATATCGATCTCATCAAGATCTGTCTTGTGACAGTCCAACATTACTACATACTTCTTGTCGATTCCAGTACCTAAGACCTTCAGAATAACACCAGGCCACCAGCTATCTTCATGAAGGACCTCAACATGAGAAGAAGGAGAAAATCTGTACTTTGAGTCAATACGGGCGATGGACCGTGCTGGCCGGATATACTGAGAATCCAGAATCTCGGTAGCTGATTTCCCGTCTTTCCCATTGTGCATGTACTTTACTAAGAAATTTGTAGCACCAATCACTTTAAGAACAGTAGCTGGATTCCAGGATTCGCCAAAGTTCGTTCCAGACTGACTCACTTCAACTTGGTCTCCCTCGCTGAAAGAAGGAGATGCATTGTCCTGGCCACAACAGGAGTAAGTAAACTGTTACTCCCTCCGTAAACAAATATAAGAGCATTTAGATCACTATTTTAGTGATCTAAATGCTCTTATATTTCTTTACAGAGGGAGTACTTCTTTATCACTATCAGAAAAGAACAGTGCCTTTTTTAACAGATTTCCTAAATAAAATCAGCTCTTGGGCACGTATAATCCTTGCTTAAATTCAGTTAACATGGAAATTTAGCTATAATTCATCCAAGAAAGTTTAGATATTTATTACAAAAACGGAAATTCATGTTTTAAAGTTAATGAAGAAAATGCTACATGCAACAATCAATTTGTGCTACCCACAAAGGAGAAGAAAAACAATATATCTAATCTGGGGACGGTACACTCAAGAACCTACAAAATACTAAAGCAAAATTAATGAATTTAGCCATAAGCCGGTCTCTCGGCAATGTTCCTCCTCCTGGCCATTCCATCGAGCAGGCTGCGAGCGGATACATTTGAGATGGTTTTCAAGAAACATATGAGAGCAGTGTCCATTTCGGTATTTGTTATTGCTTGACCGACAAATGGCCGGTGGAACAAACTAGGTAGATAGCTGAGCCCAAATTATGAACACAATATTGGCATTAATCAATAACTCCAACAAGTACTTGAATTGAAATGATAAAACACCAGATGGATAAGTCCACACGACACCTCCTTGATGGCAGCTCAAGATTCGCCGCATTCGGCATTCCATCAAGCAGGCTGCGCACGGAGACGAGCTCAATGCGGAGGAGGTAGGTGCCCATTAGAGTAAGGCATTATGCCGAGCAGGTGGCGCGCAAGGCGGGGCGTAACAACGAAGCTGCAATGGGCCTTGGCGATTTCATCCATCCATAGTCCATAATTAAACAAATCATCTGGATGAAGGTTAATTAATAAGACGAAAAGGAGCCGACGAACTCACCGCCTTGGCAGCTGGGACCCAGCGGCCGGCGACGAACTCGCGGTGCGGCCGGAGGTCCGCCTCCTGGAACTCGATCGTCTCCCGCGACGTGGGGAACGCGACCTGGTACACCCGCCTCGGCCGGCGCCGCAGATCCCCTCCGGCCACCGCAGGCGCCGGGGCGACGGCGGAGACGACGCCGGCCCACCACCCCTCGCTGTGCAGCGCCTCCACCATGTCGTGCACCGCGAACCGCCTCGGCGCGGCGCGTGGGGGGCGGGGGCGCACGGAGGCGGCCGCCGCGGCCTCCTGGAGGGGCTCGCCGTCGTCGCCCTCCAGCGTGGAGTAGACCACCGTGTAGCATTTGTTGCCGCCGCGGTCGGAGGAGGAGGGGGAGGAGGGGAGGTGGGCCGCGACGGTGGCCTCGTAGAAGGAGCCGGCGAAGCCCGGGTCCTCGTTGCGCACCTCCACCTCCGCGCCCACCGGCAGCATGTCGTCGAGCTCCGACGACGAGGAGGAGGAGGAGGAGGAGGAGGAGGGGGTCGGAGGGCGCCTCCTGAAACGGTGACGCCCCATGGCAGGTGATCGCCGGTCGCCGGGTGGTTCTTGGGGGAGGGAGGGAGAAGGTGGCGGAGGCGACGATGCCGATGTGGTGAGTGAGTTGGACTCCACTTCGCAGGCTAGTTTCTGGTTGTGACGAGTGGGCAGACGGTGCAGTGGCTCCTGGTCGGCGTGCTATGCTGACGTGGCGCATGTTGTACACGTGGGTCATGCTTTCTGGCAGCCCATGAAGCCCGACTTCTTCTAACTAGGAAACATGTCCGTGCGTTGCTACGAGAAAAAAAAAGTCACATGCCGCTACTCTCCTTGCACAATGCATATCATTTATCTTACATATATTTCATACAAGGAAAATCAACATTTGAAGAAAATGGGGTGAAAGATTGAACTCCTGGAATGAACGTGCAAGCCAATTGCATTTTGGGGCAACATTATTAAAATAGCCTTACAACTTAACATGTTATCATGAGAGAACAAAGTTGAAGAATGATTTTTTAATCAAGTAAAGAACGTGAGAACGGTGCTCAAAACTCAAATGTGAGATTATAGATACACAGAGATTTTCCATCACTTGCTTTAGTTTGGTAGCTAGCCTTATTCCAACTAAAGAATATATGTGCTAAGGGGATCAATGTACATGCTACACCAAATTTTCAGTTCATCAACTGATTGTACATTGCATATCAATTTAGGAAGAAATTATTTCATTAACGAAGGCCATGCCTATTCAAGCATCTACAGAATAAATTTGTAAGTACTATATACGTATTAGTAATTCAGATTCCACATCTATTGCAAAATGAACCGCAAAAAAGGAGTAACCCAATAATAAACGTACAGATGATCTAAGAGGTGCTATGATTGCGGTATATGACTTCACTGTGTATCATGAGATTAATCTTTGTAAGAAAATTAGCAGATGATTCACAAGTTATGTTCGCCTTTTTAACAAGTGCATAAATATAAGAAAAGGTCTATATAAAAGAAATGAAAGATGACATCAATGTATTTGAACAAAACATTAGATCAAAAAATGACATGCTATGTCTGCCTTCTCCGAATGTCTATATTCTAAAAACACAAGGGTTAATTGATTTGGAAAATAGATAATAGGGTGGGATACCTGAAATTTAAAAAACCTAACTAGTGATGAACTAAATGATTCACACAAAGAGCTTCAATTAGATGAAGTGGGTAACAATGTCAATTAATATAAATGGCAAACAACATTCTAGCAAAATAGTACAATACTTATAGAAACGGGTAACGAATTTGGAATTTATTATTTGCTTGAATGGAACGAATTTGGAATTTGTTATTTGCTTGAATGGAAAAACCCCTCCGCGTTATCGGTGATGCCAATCCTGAGATAAGACGACAACTTGAAGGAAAGAGAAAAGCAATTTATTTGCAGCTCGTAGCTCAGAACACAAATTGCAGTTTCCAGCTTGACAGATAGTCATATATCAGTTTCCTTTATATGTGTGACCCTTCAGAATATTGCATTGCTCTCATTACATCAAATACTTAACCTGCAAACCAAAACATGTTACAATATCTATGAAGAGCTACATCTACTTAATTTCAATGCCATATTAATTAGGAGGTAGTAGCATGCAACATTTACAAATAAAAGTTTTACAGTGCGATGAGAGCCTCTCCAAAATTCTGGAAAGCTCATTCTTATCATACCTGCGGCCACCTCCTCTTGGTTCTTCCCCTGAGACTCCATCTGACACGGCTACACGGCCACCCGGGCGGTCATCACAGTGAACGACGCAGACTCGAAGCCGCCTCTGCCGCCATACTGACATCACGGTACTTCTTGGATTCACTTGACACCTTCCTACTCCACGCTCAACTGAGCGAGACTCGGCCGACTAAAGTTGTTATCAGCAAACCTTTGTATCCTCTCCTTTGAACATGTTGCACATTCAATTTTGCAAAATTATATTTCCAAAACATATCCTGAATATTTGATGATCTTGTACTAACTATATAGTATGATAGAATTACAAAAAGAGAAGTATGACACTGACCTGCACATTCTTGGCTTGTTCACTCTGTTTGCTCTACATTTCAGATTGCGTTTACAGCTACATAGTATACGTCAAATGTCTCATGAGTTCAGATCACAAAACTTCTCTAAAAACCATCACAAAACTCTCATGAACAATATGAGGTCATGCAGGATGCAACCAACCTTGGGTCATTGGGGAAATCGAGCAAGATGTGTTATCCGCGGCCATGTCCTTGGCCAGTCTCCTCTGTTGCTCCACTTTCGCCCAATCGCCCGATAACCACAACCACACCATCCCTCTTGAATTACAACTCTGATCCACCACCATCGGTCACTGAGTGTGACTCGGCAAGTGATGGCGCGTGTCCAGCAGTTCCCTGCAGCCCGCCGACACAAAACCCGCCGCCACTGCCTCAATCTTCTAGCTGAATTCCCTGAATATATAGTCCAAAAAATTAGAATCTCCCACCATGAGGACAGGAGTCGGAGAAGAAATCAAGATCAGGGATACAGAAGAATTCAAATACTTAGGACTGATGGACGATGGCAATCCTGATCGGAGACTTGGGCTTAGCGGCTTGCTTGGAAATATGTATACAAGAGCACCAGACAATGAGCATTTTCCAATACACAAATGACTAAACTTGATGGACATTGTCTTGAGATCAAGTTCAGTTATGGTTTCACTCTCACCTTCAAAGTCCACACGTAGCACCAAGCAAACCATGGCCATCAAATGCAGCACTGACATCACCTTGTACCATCCATGGACTATGGGTATTTCATGCAGTTTAGCTAAGCACTAACATGTAATTGTATAACAGAAAAGCTAGCGCATGTCACTTAACTTGGGCAAGCAACATACCTCATCCTCTTGCTTAGTCCAAACTAACTATACGCTGAGCCTCAACTCACACATGCACATTTTACAACATTCATGAAACGAAATAATAAACAGAATTGCCAACCAACAAAACCAAAACACTAACAGAAAATCAAATTCCAGAAATTACTCACCTTGTCACCAATCCTAGAAGAACTGGCAAGTAGTATTCTAGTGCCTACAGAGCAGCGAAAGAGACAATCCTGTTAGCGATACAACAGCTGTAGCGTTTCCTATGTAATCTCTATGTAATCATAGTGTTGACACACGAACACGTCACGTGTACCCTCGACGCCGGAGGTGATGCACTGCAGCTCACGTCGAAGGAGACCCGACCGACAGCGCGATACGCAAGACAGTCGGCGAGCGCTTTTGCAGACCCGAAACCCCGCGTACCCGGGAGGGACCCCGTCAGGGATTGCGGCGGCTATGGGCTGCCCTAGGTCGATTCGCTCGCCCCTAGAGCCTCGGGATTCGAAGCTCTCAAACACGAAGAACAGCGAAGAACGAGAGAGAAAAACGGTGGAGAGATAAAACGTAGATGAAACGTAGTATATTGATTTGTTCGATTGTGTGTTGTTCAATCGGCCGTCACCCCCAACATATATAAGAGGCGGCTGGACTTCCCATACAAGCAAAGGATTCATCTAGGCTTTCCTTACAAGAAAATTACATCAATTCACGACCTAGAGTCCTAGTTCTGGTCCCACTTAGATTCAGCCCGAATCTGATCCAATCTTCTGTCTTGCTCCTTGCGCGGGCCGTGGAATCTGCATATGACTTCCGATGGAGACGGTTCAAATATCAATTTTGTATGCTTCGATGAGGCCAACAATCCGTATGTTGATCACTTTTCCAAATAAAGCCATCTTGAATACTCCACGGGGTCATCTTTAATTTCGAGTCGGACTCGGTCATATAGCTGACTGGACCGTCCGACTCTTGTAGCGTCTCTGCAGGTCGTATGCTACGTAGGATGATGATGACTCCAAAAGCAAAGTTGACTGTTTCGATGTTACGAATAACTCTCATGTTGAACACTTCTTCATCTGAGTCCATCTAGATAATCATTTGAGCCCATCTTCAGCTTTTGGTCGGATTGGCCTTGACAGTTTTCACCCCAGCAAGCTTTTTTCCGGCAAGCTTTTCAGCCCCGGCAAGGTCTTCGCCCGGCAAGCTTTCCCCCCGGCAAGCTTTCCTCCCCGGCAAGGTCTTTGCCCGGCAATCTTCCAAAACGGTTAAAACTGGCTGCATCTTGTGGGTTTTTTGTGTGGTAGTAAATGACCTCGGATGAAAATGCGCCCCAAAGCACTTTTACTTGTTTCGACGAGACGAACAACTTTCATGTTGAACGTTTTTCGATTTGAGGCCATCTTGAAGAGCCAATCATTCACACATTGCATCAGACACCCATCAGACATGTGTCTGATGGGGCGCGTCATATTTTGTCTCTTGACAGGGCTGCACTCAGATAGCTCTAATTTTTGCATATGAACTCGGATTGAGATGATTTTTATATGAAAATCGATCGATTTGACGAGGCGAAGACGATTCGTGTTGGATAGTTTTCCATCTGAGATTGTCTTGGAAGCATAATCGACCAAAAAGCACTCAGGACACCTAAACATGACAATCCCAGTGTAGTTTTGGTCTTTGATAAGATGCCGAATGATTATGGCCCAATCATCAAAGTTGTCCCCCTCGGCAATGTGAAGTTTCTCATGTAAAATACCTTATCACTTGAGGCCATCTCTATTGCATTTTGCATTGTGCCAAAATCAGGTGTCAACACATGCCCCCCTGTTTTCTGGCAGAGCTTGCGTGCCAGAAAATACTTTGCCTAGTGTAATGTTGAAGCACGATGTCAACACTCCATCGGCTGTGTATTTTTCCCAGGGCGATAATTATGTATCGGCCATGTTTGTGCTAAGGGCCATAATTGTATATCGGCCATTGCCTACTTAGGTTTCTTGCCACACACTCGAGTGGTACTTCTTCAAATATTTGCCATTGAGAGCTCGAGTTAACAATGCCCCTTGTATGGATTCCACCAAATAAGAGTTTCTGGGAACTATTCTTGTAATTCTAAAAGGACCTTCCCAACTTGGAGAC